ACCCAGAACCGTTTGAAAGAAGACCTGACTCCTGACACTAAAGAGAACTTCCTCCCCCACCCCCTTTTCTGCCTGATGTGAAAGAAAAGGTTGCATCTTCAGCTAAATATTTTAGTCCTCATTGGATACAGCACAATTTTTTAATCTACCTGTAAAAATATATATATTTTTCCTTTTTAGAAAGCAAAGGTACTGTTTCAATAATGGAAATGAACAACTCCTTTTTTTGTCAATTATATTGACTTCTAATATGATGCGTAAGGAGAAAATTAGAGTGAACTGGTACAGCAGGATCACATAACACTAACATTTGTTGGATGGAGGATGCATTTTCATTTCAGATATGTAATAGGCATTTGTTGAAAAGTCAAATTTAATATTATATTTACTCAAGTATAATTTTTAAAGAGGGGTACAAATATTTACTAGTTATGGCAGTAGTAGCCTTGTTCATAGCATCTCCAATGTATTTTTGCATTTCAATTCAGTACCTCTGTGTTGGGTATTTTCTACGGACCTAAGATAAGTAGGTGCTTAGTACTTCCTCTACACGTACATCATCTCAGGACTGATGCTGAGTAATTTTAAAGCATTTTAAAAGTGAATGGTTGAGAGAGAGCATAAATGAATGCCTCTTATAGTTGAGATCTGGTCCAAATTTGAATTCTTGTCTTCCACTTTTTGTTTTGTTTTAATTTTTTTGTAGTATGTATTCAGTCCATCTCCCAGTGAAACCAGCAGGAAGACTTTGAGCTGTTTTAGTGAACATTAGTTCAGACAGGAAGTGCACATGAAAATGTCTCGGCAATGGAATTTAACAAAATCCATTTACTTATTTCTTATCTTCAGACAGTTATTCTGTGTTTGCATACTGAAGAGTCTTAAGTAATTTTTATCAGTGTTCATCCATCAGCAGATTAGCAAAATGTGACACTCGTATACTTTGCTCTGACATTCTGTATTTTTGAAAGCAGGTACAGAATCCTGAATTGCCTTACAGGTGTCATGGACTCACTGCATTCCATTGCAAGTCTTTGTGACATCTCTTCATAGCTAAAAATGCCCTATATCTATGCTCAGACATGATTCTACATTTTTATTCAGAAAGATGGAGATACTTGGGAGAGGTAATATTTTGATGATAGGTTTTGGTTTTTTTTTTAAACAAAGAGTAAATAATTGTTTTGCCTTAAACACTAGTTTTTCAGCTTATACTGATCTGCCTTTATCTTTTGTAGATGCTTTCAGAGGACATTTTTATATACTGTTTAGCCAACTCCTATTTGTACCCAGTGAAATTCTGTCCTGTTTCCAAGTAATATATTTTGCCATAATTGGCTTACAGTGTAAATTAGATTTAAATAAATGTTTTTTTCCTAAAGAATTGTACTTTTTTTACTTTAAATGTGTGGGGTTTTTTCTTTGTTTTGTTTTTCAATCACAACTTATGTGAATGAGTTTTTACTGCATCTTGCACAGATCACTTGCGTATCGGGTATGTATTCCATGTAGCTTTTTCTGAAAAAAGAAACCTAGTTCCTTTTCTTTGAAGTATCTGTCCATAAGCATTGGAGAGAGCCAGTGGCAAGTGATCTAGAATACTTTCTATGGTTTTTGCTATATATACATCAAACTTCTCCAGCCTCATTTCTTTCACAAATTTAGAATATTTAACATCTTTCTCTTTCCCATGCCAGGAAAATAACGTGAAGAGTGGTTCAGACTATAGTGCTGAGACTCATGTAAGCATGTATCATTCCTCCTCATGAAGCTTTTTAAAATAAGTGGATAATAGAAAGAGGGGGAGTTTGGGAGATGGACAAATTAAGAGCCAAATTTTCTGTTTTTATTTTTTGTACAGTCTTTCCCATAATGAGTTTATTCAGTTATTGTTAATGGTACCACTGCTGTAGCAACATAAAACTCAGAAAGTATTTTCAGATGCCTAAAGCTGTTCCCGTCGTCTAATCCCAATTGCCAGTGCATGCCAGCGTCTTTCATTACTTCATAATCCAAAAAAGACATCACAGGAACCCACTAGTGCATCCTTTTACTTTAATAGGTGCTGTACAAAATGCTAGCTGCTTCTTCCCCTACTATAACCATTTTCTCAAGGTGTGGAGAAGGTGAAGGGGAGAGTTTTTTACTACTTTGTGAGGTTGTGTGTCCAGGTATAGAGCAGACATGCTGTTAATCCTTGCTTATTAAAACTGAAATGGTTGTTTTGTTTTGTTTTTCTCCTAAGACTGTTTTCTCTCTCCTTTTGTCCTTTCTCTCTCCTGGCAGTTGTCACCCATAAAGCAGGTTTCTTAGCGCCCAGCTTACTGCAGTGACAGCTGAGCAAGAAAAGACAGCTGTGATTTCTACCTTCTGTGATGCTACTTGCTAAGATGGAGGTTACACAACTGTCCTGCTGAGATTCGTTGTGTAGAATATATAGCACTGTTGTACCTTTTTTGCCTCAAAGTTCATCATTCCTCAGTTCATTCAGGAGTCTGTGCTAGTTCAGTGACTGAATTCCTAGTGTCTACTGATGCTTCAAGTGCTGCAAAACTAGTTCCAAAAATATAGTTTAGTGCTATTTTTCTTTAGGGTTTGCTTTATGGTTTAGAACTATCTTTCTATTTGGGATTGGTGGGGCTCCTGGAGTTAGTTAGGACACATGTAGGCAATCCATGCTAACAACAAGCCAGAACTGACCCTGGGACCCCTCACGTAGGTTTGCAGCTGGGAGGGTTCCAGCTATGGGAGGGTGACAGTGTTCTTTTTGTCCTGTGCCTGTTTTGGCACCTAGTTATAGTTAGAGCACAGGTAGGTTAGTGCAGTCCATGCTAATTGTAAGAGAATTCTCTACTTTCTGTTTTCTGGAGAAAAACATTCTGCTAAGACTTCACAAGTGATGCATTAAATTGTGAATGGTTGGAGTATATCAGACAAAACATATCTGTTCCTGTGGAATGCAAATAGATCCAGAAAGAGACCAGTGCTGTTACAGAGGGCTGCTAGAAACATGAAACCTTGATGGCCATAGTTGGCAATTCTAACCGACAAGATCTGGATTTAATTTCTTACCTTGATAATACAAGGTAAAGCAAACACAGTGTTTTCCAGTTATGATGTATTAATTGTTCCTAATTACTCCTCAGAATTACATAAATAATTCAGGTCATAGAATCATATAAAATGAGGGTTGGAGGGGACCTCAGGAAGTCATCTAGTCCAACCTCCTGCTCAAAGCAGACCATCCCCAACTATATCTTCTACTCAAAGCTTTGTCTAGCTGGGTCTTAAAAAAACCTCCAAGGATGGAGGTTCTACAACCTCTCTGGGTAACCTGTTCCAGTGCTTTATTATTCTCCTGGTGAAAGAGTTTTTCCTAATATCTAACTTTCCTTGCTGCAACTTGAGACTGTTGCTCCATGTTCTGTCATCTGCCACCACTGAGAACAGCGTAGCTCCATCCTGTTTGTAACCACCCTTCAGGTACATGACGCTGCTATTAAATCCCTCCTAAGTCTTCTGTTCTCCAGACTAAATAAGCCCAGTTTCCTCAGCCATGTGCCCCAGCCCCCGAACCTTTTCAGTTCATTGCAGGCATCAAAAGAGATTTGTATACAGCAGGCTCCCACTGAACAATTTCTGTGAAAGAAAGCACCCTCAGATCTGTCTATTTTGTTTTAAGATGAAAAGTGCCTACACATAGCTCCATGTACCCTGCCAAATAATTCCGTTTTCTGCCAGCTTGCACTCCTTACCAACCAGCTATGCTTCATACAGATACTAACACCTCCATACAAAAGCCAGACAAAACACGTATCTTACAGTGTATCCTCAAAAGCTGACAAGTCTCAAGCTGTTTTACTTCAGAGTCTGTGTCCTTGCAAATACTCTGCTCCCTTCCTATTAAATGGAGGGAGATCATATATCGGCTCTTCTGTTAATTGGAAGACTGTCATGCGGGGGCAAGAGGGGAAAGGGGGACAGCAAAAGGCAATCTCAAGTAGCTTATTTCCAAGGGGTTATAGTTTTATAACTCAAAACCAGCACTGCTTGAATTTTTTAGAAGATCACCTTTCATCAAGCAAGTCACACTTTTTAATATGGGATACTCCAGTCACCTAATAGGGGATTGTCTTCTGCACCAGTTCTGGCTTCTGAAAGAATTAAAAATGCAACCCCTTGTAGAGTGTGTTACATTAGTGTAAGCTTGAAGTAACAAATATGGGATATGATAGCACGTGGGCATGATTTGAGATGGGGGAAGGAATCAAAGATGATGCATCTTTGGAAACTGGATAAGGAAAGAAAGATATGGAAGTATAGGAGAGTATAAGTTTGTAGGTCATCCATGTAGATAGTAGCTGAAGCTGCATGAATGGGTGGGTGTCAAAATGTGCAGGTTTAATTGGAAGTGAAGAAGTGGGTAAGGACAGTATGCAGGAAACCCTGTGGAGTCACCCAGTATCCACTATAGGAGTGTTCAGAGGGGAACACAAATGGAGGGATGCTGGTACTTCAAAGCTGCTGTTTACAAGCTCAGTGCTTTCTTTGGTTGTGTTATTCCATGTTCAAGATCACTCTTCTACCAATCAACTTGTTCCCTGTATGCTGCAGCAATAGTGCCATGTTTCTCCATTCCCAGGTGCTGGGTCAGAGAATAGCAAAGTACTGTTGTAAGATTTTGTAGTTGTTTTGCTTTAAAGTCAGGATTATTATCCGAGTGAAGGTTGTGCACCTTTTGGTATGATTATATAAACAAACAAACCCATAACTTCATAACTTGGCTTGACCTGTTTCCATTTTGTCCCTAGCCTAACACTAACATCTAAGCTGTGAAATAGCACATGTGGTTAGGCTGAGAGAGACTGGTAAACAATATGTGTAGGTAAACAATGTAAAATTTGCAGTTCTTTACACTTTGCTAGTGCTGTATGCTGATAGGGAAAGAGTTCAATTTTCAGGAAAAATTATTAAAGCAAAGAGACGTTAAATTGTATTATTATTTTAAGAAAAAGAAAACAAAATTTATAGGTTTAAAAAATCTTAAAGAAGTTAAATCTAATTCTGTTGGTATAAGTGTCAATGACCTTAAATACTCTTCTTTTTTTTCTTCTTTTTTGTAGTGCCAGTTCTCTCTATGATTTACTAAGCTCTTTAGTTTCTTTGAACAAAATAAGATTTGGGTGGAGGGTTCCAAAGGAAATCCTATGAACACCAACAATGTCAATTACTTCGTTAGGCGTCCCTTTTGGATTGGATCAAATTCTTATATCTATCTTTTAAAAGAATGGTTTAAAAAAAGGCATTACTAAGTGTTCAGAGGGTAGCTCTTACTCATGTTAAAAAAAAAAATTGTGTTATCGCATTGACTCCATTAGGCTTTTTTGCTAACTAGAACTTTGTGCTGGCTTATGAAAAATGGGTCCAAAGGTGGCTTTCAACTCTTTGAATCATGTAGCCCTTTAAGTTTGTTATAATATGTACCATTATGTATCTGTTATATCACTACAATCATGCTGTAACCTCTCGCAACAGCCTAAGAGTATTGAGGTTTTTTTACCTTTCTTTCTTTTCCTTTATTTATATTTGTCCTTCCTTCTGCTTTCCCATTCCTCTTTTTGTACCCTGTAGAAGTTTTGTTGAAGATCTTGAGACGTAAGCATACCCCAGTTTGAGTAGCACAGGCCTATACAGCATGAACTTGGAAATACCTGTAGTCTTCATGAATACATGCTTATGAAGATTTTATGGTAGGTTACTCACGATGGAGTTAGATCAAAAGGCATTGTAAAGAAATCAAGCGGGGAAAAGTGAAACAATGGTTCATATAAGAAGCATCCCTGGAAATGCTCAAACACAATAGCAAGGTTGATAAGTCTGATGGGAGGAGAGATCAAAAGAAACAGTAAATCATAATAGGACCAGGGGCACAGAAGAAGAGTGAATGGGATGAGTGAGTTGGGATAGCCTGCCAGGGAGTGCCAGTGAAAAGATGACAGGCTGACTCTAAGTGAGAGACAGAGTCAAGGAAGTTTGCTTTGCAAGAATGCAGTCTACCTTCTTAGCCAAGGTGAAGATTCATTGAGGGTGAGTTGGTTAGTTAAGAAGGTGTTAAAAGTTTAGGCTTTTTGTTTCACCCCTTTATCCCAGTACACCTAAAAACCATATACCCTTTGTCTCTTAAATAATGTCTTGTTTTGAAAAGGCTGCCCTGCATTTCTCCAAACATCTGCTAGCTGAATAACTCTTAAGAGAGAGAGGTAGTTAGCTGTGCTAATCTGAAGTCAGGCAGAAGGCAAGGTAGAGATGCACCTTAGAGAATCTCTCTCTACCAGGGCTCCAAGCCAATTTAGACACGTACAAGGAGTCATGGGGAGAAGCTAGGGACCCTGTCTCAGAGCAACAGAGTCACTCTTGGGTTCTCTCTTGGGAATGAAGCGGAGGCCCAAGACCTATTGGTAAAGATGCAGCTGGGATTGTAGCATAGGAAGGAAAAGAAACCAGAGTACATACCCTGATTCCTGGCAAGCTTGTGTTCTGCTTGCTAGTCTATTCCAGTGTCCATACTTTGCTACCAGCGCTGCATCCATACTTTCACTTTGCTGTGCTGGCATAGATATACCTGCCTCTCCCCTCCTTGCCTATACTCGCTGCAAATCCTGTGTATACCTGCCAAGACCAAAGTAATCCGTAATGAATATTCACTGACTTCACTGATGTTACAGCAGACATGACTGAGTAACTAATTATTTCTACAGCCCCTCTCCCC